AATTTCACACAGTTTAAGGAAGGATGGCGAAACATCCTTAAAGGAAAGATGTCTAGATTTTAAGACCCATTTTTTAAGACTAACAAAATGTAGTGGAAAATAATAATCACACAAAAGTAATCAATTCCTCAACGGGCATAGAATAAAGGTATATTTAAATTCGAAAACCTGTGTAGCTCATTATTTAAGTTAACAATTACTTAAGCTATTCTATAATATTGGAGTAGTTCATAGTAGCTAATCGGAAGCTAGAAGTGGTCTCCGGTGTATGCTACCTTAAGTTAGTCGCTAATCTGGCAATAAATTTCTGAATTATATTGTTATCAAGATATAAATCAATTTAAATGTGAAATGCTGATGTAATCTCTTGGAGTGTGGCGTGGGTTTTGGCCTTTCACTAGATTAATAATTAAAATTATTAATTAACCTGAAATACTTTAACAGAGAAGTCTGAGAACTGCCGTAAGTTTTTATATATTGTAGATATTATAATCATTAGCCGGTGTCATGTGCAACACGGTCACGGTCGCTTAAAAAAGATGCCTATAACTCATTTAAAATGACCTCTGTCTGAAGTAATCGCCTTCCGGATGTATTTTAAAAGTCAAACAATGTTCAATATGATAAAAATCTTATTCAACTGAGATTTTTTGCCGCTGCGGCTTCGCCACTATCGACTGGATACTAGGCTCTTTTATTGCGTTCATTTTTTTATATTCTTTTGAATTTCCTAAGAAATGCTTTTTATATACCTTGACCTCCTTCAAGGTCACAGCATTCGCAGCATTGTTTGAAGTAACAGAAAATCAAATCGTTCACATAACGATGGATTTTTGTTTGAAAAACTTGAGAACTGCTACGTTGGTGAATTTCTGTAGTTAATTATGCAGATTATTTCGAAAATTCATGCGTTTCTGAATCAAAGACTAATTACCTTAATTACTTGAAAAATCTTGTATATTTTTTAATAAACACAATAGCAATTCAAAGCCTACATTTCGGGCATGAATTAATGAAATCAATATTCAATTTTATAAAATTGAATAAGTACAGCCATTTATTATTAGCATCAATCGCTAAAAACTTATTTCTTATGCAGTGAGAACTGATAGTTTTATAGTTGTAATAGGTAGTCGCACGTGAAGGCTGTTGGCAATAGGACGTGTATTACAATGACGTACTATACGCGAACTGTTTCGTAAAGTTAGATATATATATATGTTACGTATTAGTGTAAAACAATTGATCGTTAGTGAACTCGTGAAAAATATTTTAATAAATGGCTCGTAAAAGACGTAGTGGTGAGTGTGTGTTATTATTAAATAATAGGGTTAAATATAATTATTAAATAATAATATGATCCAATAATGCTGGATTGTTTTGAATTAATTTTATATATTATATAAATTATTTATTTTGTATTGATTAAATAAGGCGATTCAAAAAGCTTTCGACACGAAATTCCTAAAGGTTACATCATTATTAATCAATATAAACTCTATAATAAACGGTCTATTACGAAAATTTTCGAGCTGGGATGACATAACTCTCTCGTATGCACTTCTAGTGTTCCTCACCTTGAACTGAGAATTAACACATTCCCAATTTTGTAACTTCGGTAAATTTGTAGAATCACGGCTCCAAACTTTTTTATTGATATTTTCATCACTCAATGGTGTACCATGCAATAATGTGTGTCTTTAACCCCAAACAAATTAATGAAAACATCATGATTTGTGAAATGAATGAAAGAAGGTACAAATTTTTAACTAACCTAACCTGATTACAAACGCCGCATACAGTGAAAATAATAATAAAAAATTCAATTTTTTTGTTGGTAAATCAATTTACTGACCCCAGCGCCGGGGCAACGATTTAAAAGTGACGCGGGGAGTGTGGGGGTCGGTCCGTGTGGTGAAATGGACCCCTACCCACTAACCCAACAGCCCCATCTGTGCGAACAGATGGACGGGAGGCGCGGTTACAGTTTACCCTTAATCCGTGCCTCCGTCATGAGCGTCTGCTGTGCGAGCCCAACTTGCGTTGTCCAAATCAGAAAGGAATGTTGAATTACTGACCACTTGTAATTTCCCTCCTCGGCCTAGAACGTATTGATACATACATCCTAAACCTACACAGGTCACAGTCTATTTTCTTAGGTAGCATAAGTCACTGCTTGCCTTAGAAATTCGACCGTGCCCTCCATGTACGGTTTAAGCCTGGTACCGCAAAACCCTTCCTCGGCCTTTGGGAGGTTTTCAAATTCATTTTATAACGCTTAGTAAAAGTTTAAAAGCTACATTCGATTGTTTTATTTCATTAAATTTACACGGAACAAATTGTGTTTAATACAAATACTAATTATTTTCAAACGTGTAGCGAACACGATTTCAAGGTCATTAATTATAATTACCAATACATTGCAATACGTTTTAGTTAATAATGAGTCTGTCAGTATTGTATAGGCAATGTATTATAGCATCAAGGGTGGACAAAGTATCTGTATTTTTAGCAAGAACACAATTTGACCTAGTTTATTTTTATAAAATATTAGCTCACCCGCCAAACGTCGTTTTGCCATGTATGTATTTCTAGGAAGCATTTTTAGGTTCAATAACAATAGGGGTCGATCGTAGAGGGGTTGGGGTTGTATGTAGTTTTGTATGTTGTATCATAAAAAAAAAAATTTGCCTAAAAAATTAAAAATAATTGTTTGGGGTGGACACTCCTTATCACTTAGAAGTTTCAAAGATGGGTAGTAGCCGATCCTCAGACTTACTGAATATGCATAAAAAATTTCATAGAATCGGTTGAGCTGTTTCGGAGGAGTATGTACGTAGTCGGTCCCAAAGTTCTGTCATAAATGGAAATAATCATAAAAACAAAAGTACTGATCAGTTTTTAATGAGTGATATATCAATTCATAGTACATTAATTAAGGAATAGAAATAGCATAAACTTATTCGAAATGACCTCCCTTATTTTTAATACAGGCCCTTAAGCGCCGCAGCCAGTCGTCTATCGCAGCACGCACCATATTCATGTCGATTTCAGTGACTGAGTTTTTTAAAGACGACTGCAGACTCTCCAAATTTTTATGGGGTGTATCACAGACCTTCCTCTCTAAGACCTGCCAAAATTTATAGTCCAAAGGATTAAGGTCCGGACTGGAGGAAGGCCAATCCTCATGTCTAATTAAATCCATGTTTTGACGCTCAAACCAGGCTTTAGTGGTCTTGGCTTTGTATGCAGGCTCAGAGTACTGCTGGAACACGAAGTGATGTCCCGCAAATAGGGTGCTGGACAGGTCTTTGACAAGGCGATCCAAAACCGTCTCTCGGTACACTTTAGCTCTGGTTTTGACCCCCTTTTTGCAAAAATGAACCTCAGTTAGCCCGTAATAGGACACTCCCAACCAGACCATTACTGATGATGGATGATGTCCATGTTGTACCCTTGGAACTTTATTTTTAGCTTCTTCAGAACTCCTAGCGTACACTGTATCAATCTGTTTATTGTACTTCTCTTCATTATCGAAATTTTTTTCGTCCGTAAAGAGGATATCACGGTGTCGGTTTTTCGCGTACCGCTTAAACAACACCCGCGATCTCTTAAGCCTTATTGCTTTTAGACGAGCATTAAGTAAGTTCCCACTTTTTTTTTGTATGCTCGTAGACCAAGATCTTCATTTAAAACCTTTTTTATTGTTTTCCTACTGACACCCATCTGCAAAGCCATCAACTTCTGTTTTCGGACAGAATTTCTTACTATCCGCGCTTTGATAGCTTTGATTACTGCTGGTGTTCTTGCGGAGCGTGGCCGGCCAGTTCTTTTCTTGTCCTCAACACTGGAGACTTCAAGGTACCTATCAATAGTACCGTACACAAACCTAAGCGTTATATTAAAATTTTTGAGCAACTTGAAAATGGTACTCGGCGAGTGCCCACAGCGGTGCAACACAATAACAACTATTCGGTCTTCTTTTAATGTCCACTCCGTCGTGAAAACTTACTGAAAGTTATTGTTTTTATTTTAAAACAATAGTCAAACATTCCAAATTAGAATGCAATAACTTTTTTATAAAATCCTGCTCGAAATTTAGAAATAATGTGCCAGTGACAGAACTTTGGGACCAACTATGTATATTCTTCTATACGAACCTACGGCTAGCTTAGAGAATAGGGTATCTCGCTCATACAACTTCATTACTAAGATTGATGAAAATATTTATATATGTTTCAACAATCTTCCAACTTACCGTAACTTTGTTTATCTTGAACTTAATGAGGTTTAAGTTTGTATTTCTTTTTTGTTTTTTTATTTTGTGGGCCTTTGTTTATTGTTTTCCCTTGCTAGCTTGCTTATGCTCTAATACAAAATAATATAATGTGTATGTTTAAATAAATAAATCAGTGGCGCTACAACCTTTTTAGGTCTTGGCCTCAGATCTCTGAATCTGTTTCATGATCATTTTTAAATCTAATAGGCAAGTACGTGATCAGCCTCCAGTGCCTTTTGTGTATGTTTATGTGTGTAAAATTTGTGATGTCATATTATGTTGAATAATTTTATGCGTACACGTTGTTTTAGAACTTATAAATAAATAAAAAGTAATAATTAATTAGCTTTATATAATGCCACGTTAGATATTTATTTAATTTAGCTTAAGTTACGAAGTTTACTGTTCTTTTGCGGGCTTTCTTCAATTTAATGTAGCAAGAAGCTTCTATTATTTTACCGTAACTTTGACAAACTTCTATATGTCACCGTAAATTTGGAAAAACCGTTAGATTGTAATCTATCCGCGAGATTGTCGACTGTCGAAAGATTATGAACTCAACGTACTGCTTACAATTTAACGTATTATTATTCGGTAGATTGTAATCTATCGAAGTGAAACCGATTTTACGGTGACATATTACTGAAATTTTACCTGGACTTATTCTAGATTACGTTATTTCACTCTAGCTATTTTAAACAAGTGGTTTTATTTTCTTCAGAAGCTGCAGGTACAGCGTGGTGTCACGGTGGATGCCTGCATGGTGGCCGCTGCGTGTCGATTTCTGGAGGGCCAAGTGTGGGTGCGAGCGAGTCATGGGCGTGTGCGTGTACGGGCGCGTGGGGCGGTCCCGCCTGCGGACAGTACGTTGGACACGATCACGCGTGTTTAGCGCTCGCTTGCCCCCCACCTGCCGTTTGTGTGTGGAGACCTACAGGTAAGAATATTAAAGTAATTATATCTCTATATAAATCTCTCGAATATCCAGGATATACTTAGTTTACTTCGACACATTACAGTGTTATAAATTTACTAGAAATGTACATATTCATTCCTAGATATTAAATACTAATAGATAAAACAAACAGATCCTAAGCAGGGTATTTCTGATATGCAAATTCGATTATAGCTTTTTTTTTTTATTTGAATTTCAAGAAATATAAATTTATAACATATAAAAAAATGTGCAATTTTTTTCAGATAATATATCAACTGTGGGAGTAGCGTACTGCGCATGTTTAGCCGGCGCGAGTTGTACTCGTCCAGGTTCTGCAGACACGACGAGCCCCGTGGGGGGACTGGCTTCAGGCTCAGATGCATCTGCATGGGTCGCTGGCCTATTTGCCCTACTCGTTATAGTTGGAGTGCTTCTTCTAGCGATGTTCCTTATCAATAGGTAATATTTATATATTTAGTGCAATTTAAACATGTTGCTTGGGCATATAAACTCGACTTGGCCCTATTTCTATGTATCTTACGGAGACGTTAGGAAGAATCCTGCCCTAAGATTTTGAGGTTTAACTTCGCGCTAAGTATCCTTTGTTTAATTAAGTACCTACACATTCTTATCTTTTCTGCAATTATTTTCACGCTATGACAAACAGAGGCTAGTGATTTTGGAAGTTGTATGAATAATAATTGAATATTTTAGGAGAAGAAATGGCGCGTTCGTACACGCGCGTCTCTCAGACAATGTGGAGATCAATAACCCGATGTATTTAGCGGGTGAGGAGGAGCGCACAGACAGACATACACACAGCACACGGAACCACTTTGCCAACCCCGTATATGAAACTATGTATGAGCCGCATCAGATCCCATTGGAGGTTAGAACTTAGATACTTTGTTCAACATTTGCAGCCTTTATTGTAAACCACATTATTTTAATTCCGTAAGACGGAACATTTTGCAATTATCGAGTGCCTTAGTGTTTCCTTTTATTAACTTTTTAATTCACAATTTCTATACCGTTTTCTGATTTCTTTTTTATACATTTAATTTTATTTTATATTTTCTGTGACGTGCAACGTCTCACGATTACGTCAAATTCCCTAAATTAATTGACTTTTTGCTTGCCCCATAGTGGGTGTAAGCGTCGCTATTAAGAGAGTAATTTGTATTTTAAAGTTATAATACATCTTTTAAATTAATATAAATAATTATAGGAAGATGCAACGTTGCTAGAACGCGCCGATGGATCTCCGCCGCCCGCAGAGGGCGCTGCGTTACTCTGACATTCGGACCACTACTAGGACACGTAAATACTATTGAGCTCTTGGAAATACTTCGTACCTAATCAATAATGCATCGATGCCTACCATAATTCGTTACACGAATTTACTAAAATTAATAACCAATGTAACAGCTTTTATCCTAAAATTCCTATACGTTGCGCATTTAAAAACTATTTTATTGAAAAAAAATGGACTGGACTAACGTATATTTAGTCTATGGTTCATCTCGTTTGACATCTGTCAGTGTGACGTAATTTATAAGCGATCATGGAGTAGTATGTAAAAAAAAATGACATCTGACGTTGACATTTGACATCAATGTGACGTTTTTGTGAATGTTACAAGAGTATCTTAAATTTACGTCTCTGTGGAGTTTTGGCGATTGTTGAAACTTGATGTAAAATAGCAGCCATTGTTATGTGATAATTGCTAGTACAATACGTTTTTATAAGTTTCGATCTGTTTCTTCAGTACTTGAATTTTAAGATTTTTCAAATATTTTAAATGACAAAGATTGTCTATAACTTATAAACCCTTCAAAAATCACGCTCAGATGTCATACACTCATATTTTACAGATTTATTTTAAATGCGATGTTTTTGTTTCGCATTTTTTATACGTGATGTATTTGTAGGCACAATTTTGAATTACATATCTGACATAAATATCTTGTATACCAATTTTATATATTTTATACATATATTGTACCTACATCTCAGGCCTAAATGATCTATTTACTAGTGTATTTTGATATCTTTCATACATATCGTACACGTTTTAAATGAAATAAATCTTCGGGCTTAGTTTTTACAGTTAGGTTAGGTTAATTTTTTTGGGACATTTAAAATTTCGATACGATCCGGGGTACAGTTGAAAATCGATGACTGGGTAACTTGATTGTGATTGGTTATCTCTAAACCAATCACAAACGCGAACCCATTGTTCGTTTTTTCAAAGCGTATATCCTGTTCCTTTTTCATGCTCATATTGTGCCAAAATTATTTTGAATTAAGAACAGTAAATATATATTTTAGTTTAAGTTAGTGTAAGTTAATATCCAGCAATGAATTTATTTCAGTTGCACGCTAAGTACAAGTAGTCTTGCCCATTTACAAAGTTCGTGTGATATATTGCTTTTATTTACACTTAATAGCATGTGATTTCACATAAGTTGCTGCTATTTTTCACCTGTTACAAATGTAATATGAGCGAATTTTTGTCTCAGGTACAAGTGATTGATCTCACATTGAGGCCTGTATTCCATTCTTCAGTTAATTGCTGATAAAGTAAGCTAACCTTGTTTAATTTTTTTAACGCATTTTAAAGTTTATATTGGATTTTTTCAAGTGCTTTTTCTCACTGCATACGACAGATATTTGCTAAATGCATTGCTGCGACGGGAAACGCTTGTGTAAAAACACTTTAGCAATTTAGCAAGCACTTAATGGTCACTTGTAAACAATGACTCAAATTATAGATAATATTAAACATTAAAACTTGGTTCCCATTTCGGAATACGGACCGTTAGATTTATCAGAACAAACGTTGCATACTCTTGTATTGTGAATGTGCCATAGTTTTATTTTATTGGTTTGTAATGTTCCTAGCGAAATTTGGCAGCTAATAGTAAAATATTGTCTTAAAATTAGTATTATACGATAATTTTAGATTTTATCACAAATCGAGCTCATTCAACCTCTTTTAGAGCTCACCTGACACATTAGGTTAAGCGACGACCCCTGTGACTCCAATGTAGCTGATTTTAAATGAATTATAGTAAATAAATGAATACTTACATATCACATGACTTTTATTATCCTTAGTAGAAATAAAATCTTGTTCAGATATTGAAATATCTAACAGAATAGAAAATATGACTGTTAATTTAAGTCCTTTTTCTGACTGTTAATTTAAGTCGAATTTTTTTGTCCTTTTGTAAAACGTTACGATGCGGGGCGGGGATTCAATTAAGCGTTATTGTTAATATGATTTTCGACTTTCCAGTACTTTACGCCACATAATGGTAACCTTTAGGTATAAAGAGTCACTAGGTTGGCGGAAAGTTTCTTGCCAGTTCTTCTTACCCGCTCTACGCCCTTGACTTGCGAACTGGTAGTAAATGTAAATTTACGATTAATTTAACTTGACGATTCAAAAGTGTACTTGGTTACCTACTTGAATAAAGATATTTTGAGTTTGAGTTTGAGTTAGGTGGTCACGAAATGTTTTACTATACTTGGGTACAGAAAAACATTACTGCGCGTTACATTTTGTCAATAATCTCCAAAAATTGCGTGACGTAATACTTGAACGCTCCCTTACAGCAAACGACAAATTAAAGAAACAGCAGGTGGTACATGGCAGAGAGTGGCACAGTGCAGAGAGGAATGGCAGGACACAGATACCTAAAAGAAGATTAAAATAGAAACGTGTTTAAATTTAAAAGTATCATAATTAAAAGGCCATTATTATTATTATTATATGAATACTAAAACGGTGCCGTCCGTATAAAATGTGGACACGATCAGTAAAATTAAGCAAAAGTACAAATAGAAGTCATAACAAAAACAAAAACAAAAACAAAAAGAAAAATAGGAAGAAATGTATACCTACTATATTGCAAAAACAAATTATAAAAGAATTATCAATACTGTGTACTTGTTATCCTACTTTAAGCCAAAGCCAGAGAACCATTAACCATGTCAAAACTCTGTGCAATACTATTTTATATATACATATACCATTATGGTAGGGACATAACTTATATAACGCGGATATGTCGGAGAGACTAGGGCTGCGTGTGCCAAATAATCACACTCGGCGTGGTAGCGGTCGCAATTACTTGCGGTGTCCCCGAGTGAACAAATTTACTCAGGGAAGCACAGCACCATTTACGCGTGTCTTGCGTACCCTGAATATTATTGCATGTGAGACGAGAAAAATATTTAGTTTCACACTTGGCTGAATCCGCAAGAATTTCATTATTTATAATAGGTTTAGGTTTTACGTTTTCTCGTTTTGTTTATATGATGTTCTTAGTTTAATTATTATATGAATAGAAAATAAATACATAAAAATTTAATTAAAAGTTAACTTAACCAGGAAGGATATGATTCAAATTTTGGCTGCTAATGCATAATTTTTTCTACCATTTTATGTTTGCATTACATCCCAAAAGACGTGATTAATTTTAGTAAATTTGTATTGGTCTGGAATTTTTGCAATAAATCGAAACAGACGACACCGATATGATTAGTCAGGTAACTAGCATAGATTGCTAATTGCTGCGAGTGGTAATTACGTTCCTGTTCATGACAAACAGTAAAGATAACATTTTTTTTAAAGGTTTACTCAACCTGGAATTAGTAGGTAGTGATGTCAGCTAAAGAATAAAATAAAGTAATTAAAGTTAATTCGATATATTGTTCGTAATATTGAAATATTTGTTATTTTGTATTAGGTCACATGAGTAAGTAACTATTTAGATTTACTTTTTTGTAGGTAAAACATAAATAATACGTAGCATTTTTTATATTGCCCTCAAATAAGTCAAATTTGTCCCTTTTTCGGTGGAGAACTTTTAAGTAGCAACACTAATGAAATGTCAGAATTCTACGGAATTGAAAATCAGAGTATAGTGGTGTGGTGCGCGGCAAAAACTACCTTAAAAAATGCTCAGTTGTGGAACGACGGACGTCAAGGTGATAGGTTTCTAGAAGTTGGTAAAGGTGGCGAAAAAAAACTGCTTGAAAATGTTTAGCGATTATATAATAAAAAATATAACATTTTATCATAATACATTTAAACTGTTTTAGTAAAAGTCGTCTTCTTGAGCAGTTTTATTTCCGGCTGTGTTTTTGACTTGATCCTGGGCCAGGTACATATCAGCCACCTGCCGTGCACTCGTCGCTTGCTCGGGCCGTTTATCGTCACGACAACGGATGAACCTGAAATATAAAAGCTTACATATTAAAATATCTAATAGTATAAGATCCCGCTATACAACGACCTTCACCGAGATGCTTATTTAATGAAACGTATTTTATATTTAATTTAATATGTCAATAAATATAATCCATATGGGTTATCTAGCAAATTTCAGTCCAGAGTATGTTTAATTAATAATTAAAAAAAATATTTTTTTAAACATTTCACCGGTATGATTATTAGATAAATTCTATACCAATCGAAAGTATGAAGCCCATAGAATATGCAAACTTTATGCTGCCCATTCTTTTCCGGTCACAACTATCGGGTTGCCAGGTATAAACAGGTAAATCTGTACTAGTATTTTGCAACGGTCTGTTTATTGAATGAAATTTAAATGAAATTAAAGATTATTTTATTCTGAACACGGTGGTATAGGGTTGTCTGCGAAAAATCAGTCCAGAATTGCGGTTGTCGAATTTTAAAAAGTAAAATATTGCTAAAATTATTATGATTTAAAATTATCTTAGCTAATACATCTTCTATATTTCTATATTAAAATATAATATATATATATATATATATATATATATATATATATATATATATATATATTAAATATATATTTTATTTTCGTAAATTCTATGTGGCTTAATGCAACGGATCCAATATGCGTGAAATTTGAGCCTGAGACCTTTTATGTCCTATGACTCGGATTCTGAATAATTAAAAAAAAATTGTATTTTTAATTTTTTACAATAAATAGAAGTAATTTTTTAATTGTTGTTTTTGAAGTTATACTTCTTTAGGCGCGTTATGAAAAATTGATGAGAGTGAAATTTTACGATGCGCGCGCACCGTGACACTAATATATATATGTATAGCGGGATCTTAGACCATAATAATTGATTACAATCAAGTATACAGTATTTATAATTTTCTTAACCTACAAAGTAATAATAGAAATAATTAAAAAGAAAATTAAAACAAATTTTAAAAGTTTGGTCCCTGAGGCAGTTTTTTAGTTTATTTCCTCGCTATATATATATATTGCGATACTTATTCGTTGAGCGAGGAAAGCACCAGCCCTGGGGTCAGTGGTACTATCCATACCAACCAACAAATATACCAACTTAAATCTCTAATTAGCGTCTGTGCACTTGAACTCCGCGGCCCAAGAGTCTCTACTCCAAGGGAAACAAAATCGAAGTTGGAGGAAAGACTCTTATATTTGTGCAGTTTATTATTCTGCCAGCTCTTTTGCCGCTTGTCCGAAGGAGGTGGGACGGGGCAAATGTGTCCACACAAGTAGCTTAATCTTAGGGAGCGTTCAAGTATTACGTAACACAATTTAACGTTTTTCTGTACCCCCCTCCCGTCCCTTTACGTTACGTAACATGTAAGTGACCATTAAAGACACAATCATGTTAAACAAAGCAATGCCTTTGTTATTGTATTAATTGCGTTTGCAGTTGTTATAAACAAAAGAAGAGATTTTTAAGTTATATGTATAACATCCTTATGTTCTAAAAACTTTTCGTTGTTTTTTAGTTTTTCTTTAGCAGTTTTCCAAATTTCGTACGCAATTTTTTGGCACAATTGTACTGGCAAGTTAATATGACAGTATTATATGCCATGAACAGCTGATGATGCAAATCTCCCGCTTTCGAGGACATTACGGTATTTCCTCAATCTTTAACAACACTGACAACAGCAATGTGCTTCTGTGTAAACTCTAATAAAATAAAAATCACGTACACTCAGTCGAGGGATTCACCGTACAACATAAACGAAAAGGGTTGCCAATTAAGCCCCCAGTTTTTTTTATTAAAATAAATAATGTTACGTAACGCGTTGTTTAAATCCCGCCCATGTAACGTACTGTAACGTTTCAAAAGACTCCCCCCTCCCCCCAAATTGCGTTACGTAATACTTGAACGCTCCCTTATACAATTAGTTTAATAGAAATTGGTGCAAAATGGAATATATAAGTTTTACCTGGGAAACCTAAGTGAGATGCCCTTATCCCGGTCCACTAAGCCGAGAGCTGCTCTGTGCGCAGGTGACAGAGACAAGTCAGCGCAACGCACTTCCCATACACACGCCGCCTCAAACCATACATCCGGGTTCATACTGTTTTCATAACTGAAAGTTGTATGGTTTATTATTCAGATAAAAAATTAAAAATACAAAGTTTTTGAGTTTTTGAAGACTGAACCGATTGTAATGCAACTTTTTTCTCTAATTTCAGAACTTAAATCATTTAGATATGGCTGAGTTTCCGAGTTTGTGAACATAAAAACTAACTTTAGAGCACTTGCTTGGAAAAATAGATCATCATATTCAATTCATTTGTAGTTGAAGTCCTTTTAAAGGGCTGGATCGATTTTGATGAAATGTTTCGTGTGTGGATTCTATAATGATTTAATTTTTTTTTTGTATTGTCAAATTCAATGTGTTAAATACGAGAAAAAGTGTTAACCTTTGTACGAGCCAAGCCTGTACCTTTTGCTTACTCTGGCTTTCTTAGTTTTATAAGCGTAGCAATTTCCTAAATGGTCAGAATTACGCCCCAAAAGTAAAGCCAGACGTCGGCACTCTCTTCAACAGTTACATTGCAATTAACATTTCATTATTTAGCTTATATTCTATTGTTGTACGCGAGTGGTTAATATAGAGTATAAAATACATTATTATTTACAGCACCCCGATCATCCAGGAACAGTACATTTTGGTCCTTCGAGCCGGATTCGGGGTATATTAACCACTTGCGTACCACAATAAATGTACAGCCTTGGCTTTTACAACCTTTCTTTTTTTGTCGGTTAAAACTCACCTATAATAACTTTTGGGGGCATCAATAACATGCGTCTGTAATGTCTCACTAAATGTCCGAAGGTCTTCATCAGAAAATCCGGTCCCGATCTTGCAGAGGGTCTGATAAGCATCCATTTCGGGGTCGTAGCAGGCGAGCAGGAATCCGCCGTAATGTCCTGCTCGTTTGCCCTTCCCGTGGTATCCACCTACCACCACTGCATCTATGCTGTCTCCACAACCTTCTAGGTAGTCTTTTTTAAGCTGGAAAGTAATTTTTAAGGTGGAATTTTTTGCTGGAAATTAATTTTAAGCTGTAAATTAATTTTAACCAGGAAATTCTTTTTTAAGCTGGAAATTATTTTTATAGTTGGAAATTAATTTTTAAACTGGACATTATTTTTTAAGCTGGAAATTAATTTTTTGCTTTAATTGATCCAAGGACTAGCTAAGTGCCACTTCCGCATATATTGTATGTATCTCGACTCTGAATCTAAGGGTTAGAACTTGTAAACGAGGAAATTATACCATAACACGTTTTTTTTTAATTCTTACTTTAAGCCAATTATGCGAACGACGAGCGATATCATATCTCGCCTTGTCCCCATCCAACGCCTTCACCATGAGACCCTCGCAGCTTCCTCGCAAGGCTTCCGCCAGCTCACCTTCCACTTCCTCGGGGCTACTGCAATCTCGACCGCGGGCGAATTCCCATTCACCTAATGGGTGAAAGAGAAGAGAAAGAGAATTACAAAATAAAGCTAAAATTGTTGTATGTACGTTTTAAATAAAAAAATCTTATACTTGACGCTGGCTAATGCACAAATCGTGCCAGAGCCATAAATAAAAATTTAAAATATGGACCTTGTTCTCGTTCTACTGTCATGAGTTGAGAAGTAAATTTAGAAATAATTAATATAATATTTTTAATATACCTATAACTATTTCTATTTACATTTTTTATTTCTATTTCGTATCACCTACATTATATTTGTGTCAGAACTTAATAAAAAAGTTTTAATACCAAAGAGATCGGACCTCATACTTCAGCACAACATAAACAAAAACACACATTTCTGAAGGCATCTATAAATATATGACAACCAAGTAACAATTTATATTTCTAAAAAGACATCAAATATTTCCAAGGAACATTTTTATTATCAATTGTTGTTTTTAGTATTTTCCTTCACTTATTATTTGTTTCAAGGAGAAGGTGATTGGGTTTTTAAAGTCAAGGTGCTTTTATAGCGTGAGCGAGTATTTAGACCATAAGTTCAATTATAAATGACTTAACTTCTTATTATGACATTATGTTAATGTTCTTATTATACTCGTATGACATTGCAATAAATTTATATGACATTTGCATGCCTATATATATGGCTGATTGTGCGGATTTTTCTTGTTGTTCGATCTAATTGTAAATAAGATAGTGGATCTTGGCAAATAAACGATTTATTTATTTATTTCCTAACGTTTAAACCATCTCTGAATTTCCAGAAATATTTCAAGATCCTAATTAGCCAAATCGGTCCAGCCATTCTCGAGTTTAGCGAGACAAACATACAGCAATTAATTTTTTTTATATATTTAAAATAGTAATATTCAGCAATATATACCTTCAATTTCATTGAAGTTTTCCCTCAAAAGAGCCCGTCGTCTCTCCAAAGATTCCCGAACAAGAGGCGATCCGTTCAGATAAAGCAAGTCAAAGACGAACACACACACTTGCACTTTGATTTCTGACGCCTGCGCATCTTTTCGTTTACGAGTTGACAGGATCTAGAAAGAGATATTCTCTATATTTTCAGTGTGTGTTATCAGTTCTATCCCTGGCGAAATATATATCTAGGTCTAAGACTACAGCCTAGTCGCTTCAGCGTGCGACTGTCATCCCTGAGGTCGTAGGTTTGATCCCCGGCTGTGCACCAATGATTTTTTTTTTTATGTGCGCACTTAAATCGTAAAGGTTCTATAATAATAATAAAAGCCTTTATTGGCTTCCTCGCTATGAGAAAAGAAAACGAGGAAGACAAATAAAAAGATGGGAAGATGATGTGCGAAGAGTAGCTGGCCCTATGTGGCCCCGTAAAGCTAGGAACAGAGAAGAGTGGAAGCCCTTAGAAGAGGCCTATGTCCAAGGACAAGCTGTATGTCAACCGGCTAGGCTTGCCGATTAATTATTAGTATTTATTTTTTTATTTCTAATGTTATTTTTTTAGTATTTCACATGTTTATGTACCTACTAGTATAAGTAATTATAGCAATAAAGGTTCTATAGTCACTAATAAATAATAATCGGAATTTTTAAAAGCTTGTCAAATAGCCAATGCAAATGAACTTACCTGGAAGGGTAAAATCTGTTTATTTGCGGTGTCATATGCGACAGCCTCACAGTCCAATACACAGCTTTGCACTGATCCCTTCAGCAGTTTGGGCAAACGACTCAGGACATCCGGGTATTTACTGGAAATAAAGACATTACCATGTCATTATCAATATATAACTGAGCTGTAATTCGTAACAAATACCAAAAACAGACCACCGTAATGTGGGTTAAGACAGCACACATAAGGGGGGCGTTCAAGCATTACGTCACGCAATTTTTGGAGATTATTGACATACATGGGGGGCCCATATAAAGCGCCGTAACGTATTTCTGTACCCAAATATAGTTAAACGTAGTAGTAAAACGTTTCGTGAAGTTACCATAATGTGTGTATAATATTAACAATAACGCGTAATTCAATCCCCGCCCCGCATCGTAACGTTTTACAAAAAGACCCCCCCCAATTCGTTACGTAATACTTGAACGCTCCCTAATGCCGGCAACGCACCCACTAAACTGGATCGTGTTCCCCCCTATCTGATAAAGAAAAGCGCCAGCATAGGTTTGAAGTGACTCCAGGAGTCAGCTTGCAGTGTTGGGGCAAAGACTCCACCCCATACTTGACCATAAAAATTGTGTTTAAATTGTATACAATTGTTGTGCATTCTTGTCAATTTAGGGTCACCTGTTAGGACAGGATTGTTTTTTTATAAATAAAATAAGCTCACAAGCCTAGCCGGCCTATTAATAATTGGTACGCTGTTTTCTTGAAGGTCCCAGTCGAATTGGTTCGGGAATACTATATTTATAAAACAGAGGCCTCGGACCGAACTTAGACATGCAACATTTTGCAAAAAAATGCCAAACGTAACGGGTTCATTTTCAGTTTTTCGTCCGTTCCACGCCCTTTGCAAACTGGCAGTAAATGTAATAATTCTTTTTGACGTTCATAATAATTAAGTTTACAGATAATTTATAACAATACCTTGTATTGTTCTCCTGATTCCTACTAAAGATGGACGCCTTAGTGAGATCAGGTGAGTCGGTACCGGGCACATGAATTTGCGCTCGTTCGCCATCATACTTCCACTCGCATGTGAATCGTTCACCATCAAATCTGAAAGAATTTTGTACATTTTAATTAATAATAAATAAATAAATGGAGCAAGTCAGTAATGCATTGGTACACAGGTCACATGAAGAGGAAAAGGGGTAGACCATTCCTACGGTGGATTGATGAAATAAGAGCCGTTGCAGGTGGCACGTGGACCCGAACTGCCCAGAGCAGACATTTATGGTGGCAATTGGACACCTTTGCCAACAAATGGCAAACAGACAAGGTTGTCGAGGGAATGTAAATATTCAACTATATTTAAGTAATTTTTGAAGTTATATCTACTTCTTTAGGCGCATTATTAAAAATTGATGAGAGTGAAATTGAACGATGCGCGCGCACCGTGACACAAAATTAACAGAATGAAGTTGCCCACGGAAGATGCTACGGCATTGGACATAATTAAAAAACAACATTCGAATAATAATAGAATTTATGTTACACTTAATGTAAGAGAATAATAATAAATATTTATTTATTTAATTTTTCAAATGTAAACTGAACTTTATTGACTATAATGACTGAATCAAAAACTATTTTTAATAATGCCAAAGAAGTATAACTTCTTACGCGCGTACATAAGTACACGCACCCTTTTTTCAATATTAAAAATGTATATTCTAGCTTAAGTAAAATTGTATCTTGTCTGAATAAAGGCTTATACATATTATTATTTACATATAAAACGGGATATAGCGGGATAGCGGGGAAGGGTTGAAAAAGGTTCCGAGGATGAGAGACATGTGGAAGAGTTTGGAGGAGACCTTCACTCCGTCCGTCGGAGGGCGTGTATTAGTGTACTAATGTTAAACATAGGTTTTAATGTAATCCTGATTATGTAGTACTTGAATAAAGGCTTATTTATTTTATTTTTTTAATAAAAAAAAACCATATGTGTGTACGTTTGAAGTTATACTTCTTTGGGGTAACAAGATAAAAATCTTTTCAAAAATTGTATTCTACGTTTGTAGAAAAAACTGGTATTTAATACATTGAAAGTTTTATTATAACACATCATCTAGTTAAATAAAGTTTATTTAAATCACAAAAAAATATTTCTACATAATTAAAGAAATGGACTATGCTATCTTCAGGGTGTCGGTTTATGTGACGATGTGCGCGCGCATCGTAAATAACTCAAAAAGTTTTTTTGCTTCAACGCTAGTATATGAAATAGAATCTTTTTCATGATGCGATTTTAGTTGCAGTGTTTTTTTCTATAATACGGATGCCAACTTAAAGCTCACAGTGCCTGGACCCAATTGCAATTACGATTTCAATAATTTTTGTACGACACGATCCCAAGGCGATCAGCGCTTCGGATATTAAGAGATATACATCGAAATTGAATATAGTCCATTGAAATGTTACATTTGCTGAACATTTGTTAGAGGACGCAATTTTATTTATAGGACATGCAGGGGGAGGTCAATACAAGATTAACGCCAAGTTTGTGGGGGGACAAGGGCACCAAGCCCTTGTCCCCCGGCCGCCATCTTGGAAAAGAGGTGAAAACACGATTTTGGCTATATTTCCTGAACTATCCATCGTACAAAAAATTTGTAAAGACATATTTTGTAGAAAATCGCTTTGCCTACAATTATGTTTGTGTGACTTTTTATCATAAATCCAAAATTCAAAAAGTTATAAGTAAAAAAAGTGAAAAAAAATTTCCTTTTTTGCTTAAATTATAACATTTCAATGGACTAATAGTAAAACGTCTGAATCACTATTGTAAGTTTTTTTTATGCCCTCAAACATCACACGTGATAAATGAGCAAAATTACCTATGAAAATATCTAATAAAAAGGATACGTGAAAATGACATTAGAATTTAAGAAGGCGCGGCGCTAACCAGATCCATGCAACTTTAGATTATCGCAAGATTTACCTAGTAAAAAGATCAGCTACTCCTCTCGAAGGGTGCGCCAGCATAGGTTTGAGTGGGACTCCTGGGGTCAACTTGCAGTGTTGGGGCAAAGCCTCCACCCCATATTTGAGTAATATATCTACTATTGAATCGTAGTTGGGGCACTCGCAGTATGTCGTTTTTATTATTAGTGAGAATTCATCTACGCGCGCCTACACAAAAAAAATCATTTCATTAGTATAACATTGTAAACGGAGTACGAGCCGAGTACATAATAAATAATATTTATTTATTTTCTATTTTTACAGTAACTTAATAAAAATACTAATAAAACATAACATAGTATAAACAATACTTAAACCATTTTATAAATAATGCATTTCTTGTGAATTCAGCCAGTGTGCAAATAAATTCATTAATTATATACTCCTATTGGTATTTCTGCCCGTTTTTTGAATACCTAACTATCATCGGATTCAATCACCTTAGAAGTCAAATCTTTGGAAGTACAGATCACATATTAAATATTCGAAAATGACAGTGAGTACCAAATAACCAATCCCTCTATTTTGACGTTTCAATTGAGAATTTCCTTGGTTTGTTACGAGTGGAAAGTCCAAAATGCGGTATAACCCAGAGTTCAATTTCCGTTAAAAACAGAAATACATCTGCGCCCAAGGTATCATTGGAATTTGAAGTCTACGAAAACTTTAAAAACACCACTGAAGCATTTATTAGTTTTAGTTCACTTTCATTAACATATTATAAGGAAGACTCTTCTGTTAGTTAATAAATTTATGTTTACTTGTTTAAAATACCTTAAATTTCTCCTGACTCATATCCGCACTGACGTCTACAGTACCAGCGAGAGGACCAGCTGTAGGCGACGCAGCGCATGCGCAAGCGAGTGCCTGAAGGACTGATTGCTCAGCTAGACCTATACGTAACTTACCTTCCAGAGATCTGAAATATAATACAATATTTAAATGATCCTAATCATTGATTTGCTCCAGTTCAAACAATGTGTATGACTCAAAACTTAGCGATTAAAGAGTGGCGGAGAGTTTCTTGCCAGTTCTTCTTGCCTGCTCTACACCCTTGACTTGCGAACTGGTAGTCAATGTAAATTTAGAATTAACTTAACTTTTCCGACGTTCATGAGTGTACTTGTTTACCTATATGAATATGAGTTATTTTGAGTTTTAGTTAGGTTCTTTAGGATATTATTACGATATATGAGATATTATTATTATTATATATATTATGTGAACTTAAACATAATCTGAAATTGACTAACCGGAGAGAGAATAGCAGACATAGACCTGACAGGACCCTGTAGCGAAATAGCGAAAGCGAACACGTTTTAGTCAATTATGCAAGTTCAATTTAGTTTTCTGAATATCCGTGACGCTGACAATATACAATAACACATTGAGAACGGAACAACAGTTCCTTTAAAAGTTTCGAGGACTACACTATCTCCTAAAAGATCCTTTCTGGGCCTCAGATTTCTGTATCTGTTTCGTAATCATTTATTTTTCATTAGGCAAGTAGGTGAACAGCCTTCTGTGTACACGCCGTCGACTTTTATGCCGCATTTACTTTCAGCCGTAGTGAGCAGGGAAGTGGGCAGGGAAGTGGGCAGGGAAGTGGGCAGGGAAGTGGGCAGGGCAGTGCTCCCAGCTCACTACAGCTGACTGTAAATGCGGCATTAGAGTCTAAGGCCGCTTTCCTCAACATATTTTCATTATCGTACAAGCGAATATTAAATGCGCACATAGAAAGTCCATTGGTACACAGCCGGGATCCAACCAACGCATGAAGCTACTAAACCAACACAAAACGAAAACATATAAAAAATAAAAGTAAGTATAAATGACCGACCTTATTAAATAGCGTGCTTCGGAGTGTCGGCAGGCGACGTACAGCGATTGTATTTTGCCTATCTTTTTGTTTACTGACGCCTGGCCTGTAAATTATTATAGGAAATTGGAAAATTATAGTATATGGAAAAATTTGTTTGGGCGCCTCAGTTACTATTATTATCGAAATATTTAATTTCGAGTCAGCTACAGACTAAATACGGTTAAAACCGGTGGCGCTACTCTTTCGGCAACGCAACGGCAAGATAGATATATTTAAATGCTTTAAAAATAATATAAAAAACTGGTATCCTTTATTAGACATAATGGCTTTGTTGTTCATCTTTTATATTAAATATATTAGAATGATCAATGCATCTTAAAATTTATTATATATCTATATATTTTGTATAAGTAGGTAATATTTGTTGACTGTGTTTTATTATGTTTGCGGAACACACATTATTACGTTTTTGGCTTTTTTATAATAAGTACGTGTAGGAATACTGATAGGCGACGGTATCACCTAACATGGGATTAGCCTGTTTGATCTCTATTAACTATATACATTTTTTTTTTTAACTCTTGGTCTTGGACATAATTTTTTGTATTTTTCGTAGTCTACTGTGCCTACGCTGTCGACTTTTATATCTAAGGCATGCGGTATTTCTCACGATGTCGTCCATCGAGCGAGTGCTAATGCGCACATAGAAAAATCCATTAGTGCAATGGGGTTCGAACCTGCCACCTCACACTCCAGTAATACTTACATACATACATTTTCTAATACAAATATGTGCCTAGCATTCTGTAGGATCCCTCTTTAATTACGTGCCGTACCCGTGCACTTACCGGTGGCTTGTGCGACTTCTTTCAGGGCAGCGAAGACCTTCCTCAACGTTAAGGGCGGTGGAGGGAACATCGTGCGTTGTGTGGCTCTCGCCTGTTCCGCCACAAGCCCCAGGTCTCCGGTAGTGCGTGCTGCACTTTTTACTTGGGCTAGCGTCCGACCAGTGCATTGGCCTATTGCTTTCATTATATACGTCTCAGCCATACCTTGAAGTATTATTAAACACTTAATTAAAAATTCTACAACCTCTTTATATCTATGTGCTATTGATGTAAAGACAAAAATCGTCGAAAAAAGCGACGGAATTGCTTCCTCGCTATGACAAACGAAAACGAGGAAGACAAATAAAAAGATGAAAGAAGAGCAGCTGGACCTATGTGTCTACGTTAAGCTAGACACCGAGAAGAGTGGAAGGTCTGACCAAATTTGATATCGCAATCAAACTATACGCCATATTTCCCTACCTATTTACCAACAATATCATATTTTTAAGTTAATAAACTATTTATAATCAATTGTTGTTAAACTTAACTTTTAACCTATATATCAATATCGTATTCAAATCATAATTAGTAATCTACTATTACAACTTACCAAGTTCCAAACTGTGATATGCGGGTGCCAACTGATTCAGGCACAAATAGATGCTGGGCAGCAGATCCTCAGGTGTGAGCAGCATCACAGACCGTAAGTAATTGCTCAGAATATCTATCATTTTCAGTCTAGCCGATGTGCCTTCAATATTCTCCAACGTCTTGGCTAATGCTAAGTATGGGACCTCTTGCCCTTTGTTCCAACATGCGTCCTTAATGGGATGGTATTTTGGCTTTGCTGGGTTGTAATCCACCTCTAATAGGGAAATATACATATAATTACAGTGAATAAGTGTTTTTGTTTTATTAAAGAACCAGTATTATTAATGATAGTGTTGCTGATGTTTATTTACACCCAAATACACAGGCCATGTCTTTTAAGTTTTTTTATTGTAGTAATTTTTTTTTATGAATTTTATAATGCACTGCTTTAGTAACTTTTCTCTATTCTAATATCAACTAATCTCTCTACTACCTAGCTAACTACAAACTAGCTTTATTTCAAAATTTCATTCACAATTTGAATTCTAAAATATCCCTCAGTAACATAGGGTATATTTATTTCCAAAATATTAAGAAAAATTGTTGCAGCTGTGTAAAGCTGGCACATAGACATGGTCTTAAACTTTATTATATAAGAATTGTTTCTTGTTTTTAATGTAGACATTAGGATTAGTCTGATTAACAAACCTGCAGTTTTATCTTTTTCAACTTTACTATTTTCTTTATCTTCCACTTTGAGGTCAGTCTTCTTCCCAAAGAGTGATGCTATCTTCTTTTTATCTGGAGGCGATTTTACTTCTTCTTTTTTATTTCTTGGTGACTTAACAGTCTCTTTCTTGACTTTAGGGCTGTCTTTATTAGCAGTAGGACTTTCTGATTTTTCTTTGGATTTTTTACTTACTGGACTTAACTTTTCAGTTTTGATTTTGTTAATTTTCTTTGACTTGGGAGAGTCATAAGTTTTAGGCTGCCTGGTTTTATCTAATTTTATTTCCTGGTCTGATTTTGAATCTGACTCACTTTCAGAACTAACAATGCGCCTGCGCTTAGGTTTTTTCTACAAAAATAATAAACATTTTCTATAAATTGTTATTAAATAATTTATATCTTAACTGTAAAAATTGAACAATAGCTTAACGAGGTTTTAGGATTTCAGTGAACATGTGTGAAGGAACAACCAGCCTTAAAATCATTTACCTTTTCAGATAACTCTGGTGATGCACAATTACTATTAATCTCCTCTTCAGTACTTGTAGATCTTGATCTCTTTGATATCTAAAATGTATTAAAACTATCACAACTGTCTCTGGCTAAAACTTAACAAGCAATACACACTTCAACTTGCTTATTAAATGAAGCTTACCTATTTATATATTACATTTTAAAGAGCAAAACTTTTACCTTATCTTTTCCATTACTTGGTGGAGAGACTTCATCACTATCAAAAGACTTATTCTGCAACAAAATTCATGCCATATAAGACAGTCAATCTACAAGTGGTCAGGTTTTAAGGTTACGAAACTGTACTTACTCTTTGTTCTTCTGTTTTGACTTCTACTGGCTTTTTGGGAGTTACAGTAAAGAAAGAACGAATGCTAGATTGAGACATAATTCGTAGGGAAAATAGACTTTTAAAACAAACAGGTAACCTGTGAGAGGTCCTGGAATAGTTACAATACAGCGAGCAATTTACAAGATTAGTTACTATTCTACTGATCTTGAAAAGGTTATACCGATACATGTAACGATTATTAATATAACTACATTAGAGAAATTAAAATTTTCTTTAATTTTATATTATAGTTTTAAATTTATGATTTTCGTCTTTCGCCAGTTTATTTACACTGACAATTTTCATTTCTCGCGCCAAATATTGTAGATAAAAATACCTATAACTTATAGATAATGCAATATATCCCAGATAATATTGCATTGCACTTTGGACTCAATAAACCATCATAAAGTCTTTCTTTTTCTTTAATTATCAGTTAGTATCAAAGTCAACAAAATTACCTGTGTTTTATTTAACTGATTTTGTTTGGATCTCCCTTAAACGATAAATCTAAGCAAGTCGTAAATCAATCAAAAGCTAAAGCTACAAAATAAAGCTATAAAGTTTAAACATTCACACTACTTAATCTGTAGTTCTATTTGACAATTCATTACGACGTTTTCTTGACGTTTTCAAAATGCTAGTGTCAAACATGTTTCAATTAAAAAGTAGTTTCATTGAAGCACTTAATAAAGATAACTAATAATCATTGTACTAAAAATAAAATAAAAATAAGTAATAAACACTTATATTAAAATTGTTTATAAACTGAAATAGAAAAAAATATTTTTAAATTACAATTTTCATTTTATCAAATGAAAAAATATGTGTTGACTCACATCTAGAACGTATTTTGCTACAACGACGCCCTCTAGTTAATGAACTGTCAACTAACCGCGTGTCGTCCATGTTCCGAATGTGGTGTGACTTATTTTTGTTTTGTATTAATTTTTCGTATTCTAATTACCAATGTGAAATGATAAAACATGTGTTATCCCATATAGTGAAACGTCGCTCCGGCTGAATGGATCCCTACGTCGGGTGGTATCAGCCCGAGCAGGAAGGACCCGCGAAGCGATTGTGGCTTCGTATTTGGGAAACCCAAAGTGAAACAGACAAAATGAACCTCAAAAATTTAGAAAACTCTAATCCAAATGTGAATAAAGCCCAAGACTTAGTACAAATTAATGAAGTGAATGGTGAAATTAGGAATAATAATTATTTTAATCCTACGCGAAGGAAAGCGAACGATAACCGCGCATCTACGTTTAACCTGAATCAGAACCACGATGCTCTAATAGGCGAATACGGAGGGTGCCCTTGGCGGATACCCAACTACACCTATAAGCCCGGGATACTCGGGTAAGTCATATTTTGAAATGGGTAATCTATATGTCAGCAAAATTGACGTGCCGAGCGTGTTAAGTTTAAGCCCCGATGGCGCGGTGTGGTGGTGTTGACAGCGCGGGCAATTTGTTACCGCCTTTACCCTCTGATAATAAAATAATAATATTCTTTAATAACATATAAAATATAACAACTTTTATTATGAACATATAAATTTGATAAAATTTTAGAAATAATTGATTTTTAGGATCTTTACAAATACCTCCTTACTAACCAAAAACTGCAGAACATGCTTATTAATTATATGCATTATGCATCAACACCTAATAAGAGATCCTTGAGTCTATGATAGTCAGTATTAGATTATTTAACTAGAATAGCTTGTTGATATATTTTTTTAAAAACAATACATAAAATTGTATACTATGTTACCAAACTTAATATTGAAATAAGTTAAATAACAGTTAATTTTTTTGTTATTATAAGTATAAATCAAATGACATTTTGATTTGCCACTTATAGGTTCCTTTCTGCTATGATTAATAATAAAATATATTAGAGGTAATGAACAGTGTTGGCAGTGCTTACAATTATTACGATTAGATGCACAATAAGATTTTCTTAGTTCATGGACAAATAATACTTGCTTGTTCAGGGAATAATAGATCCTAAAATAGTCATCATGTATCAGGCAAAGAAAGCTGATCACCTTGCCTATTAAAAGTAATCCAAGAAACACATGCTGATATATGTGGCCTAGATCCAGGGTGGTGGGTTTTTGCACCACTATCTTTTTATTTTAATTATAGTTGCAATTTATGTGTTTAATTTGGTTAATGAATTTTAATATTTTAAAATGCCAGATACATAAACCCGTAATTATAGTAAAACATAAGTAAAATCTTTTTTTTTTTTAAATTGACATGAGAAAAATGTTCTAACTACAGTTCTATATTTATTATTATACCTTTTCAAAGTCAAAGTCAAATCGTTTATTTCAATTAGACCATCTAAAATGGCACTTTTGAACGTCAAAAAAAAAAAAAAAATATAAAGATGATTCTAGTTGCCCCTTCCAAAAGGTAGTTTCGTGTGGAGAAGAATGGGCAAGAAACTCCACACTTACTCTTTTAAAATAGGTTTACAATATTTTGTTACATTTGTTAAATAATTATATGTGAAGACAATGTACTCTTAGAATAAACTACTATACTAAAAAAGTTAGTATACATGTTCCTCACATATTTACAAATATCGAAACCTTAGAATATTAACATTAAAGAGTAATAAAAATATTAAAAAAACACAACAAAACAGTGTGTGAGATACAAAAAAAAATAATTACATTTGTAGCATTATATAAATTAAAAAAAATAAAATAATAATAACAAAAATTAACATATTTTTTTTTAGCAAAAATTCAGCAACCAATTTGATTTTGTCCAGGCTATAGAGCCAATCATAGGATTGTCCTATGGAGCAGGACCAGCATGTTTCCAAGCATTCTTATCTTGAATATAATCATCTAATTTGTAATATGCTTGTTTACAAAGTGTACTTTTAATAAAACATTTAAATTTTCGTTCATTTAGTTTTAAAATGTCACAAGGTATTTTATTGTAACATTTCACACAGTACCCCATAAATGAATTTTGAACTTTGGCTAATCTGAAAGATGGTTGAGCTATTTTATCTTTATTTCTAGTACTAAAATTATGTCTTTCATTTATTTTACTAAAAAGATGTAGATTCTTTCTTACATACATAATATTTTCATAAATGAATTGGCAAGGTACTGTCATAATATTAATCTTTTTAAATAGTTCCCTGAGAGATTCGCAACGACGTAGATTATAAATGGCTCTGACCGCTCTCTTTTGCAAAATAAAAATGGATTCTATGTCAGCAGCCCGACCCCACAGTAAAATGCCGTAAGACATTATGCTGTGAAAGTAGCTAAAATAGACCAAACGCGCAGTTTCTACATTGGTTAAATATCTTATCTTTCTAACCGCATAAACGGCTGAGCTCAGCCGCCCCGCAAGAGATGTGATATGAGGTCCCCATTGTAACTTCTCGTCTAGCGTGATGCCTAGGAAAACCGTTTGATTAATAAATTCCAGTTTTTCTTCATTCAACATTATGTCACATTCCTTACTTTTAACATTTGGCAACGTAAATCTAATACATTTAGTTTTTTTATCATTCAGTGCCAAATTGTTTACCGTAAACCAATTTTGGACCCGAAGAATAGAGTTATTCACGTCGTCACGATTTTGTGACCGTCGATCTACTTTAAAAATCAATGATGTGTCATCTGCAAATAACACCATCTTCGGTTTATTCTGAACTAATTGGGGTAAATCATTTATGTATACTAAAAAGAGGAATGGACCCAATATTGAACCTTGAGGAACGCCCATTGTAATTTCAGACCCTAACGAGTTTATGCCGTTAACCTGAACTTTAACCTGTCTGTTTTTCAAGTAAGATCTTAGTAAGTCCAGAGCTTTGTTCTTAATCCCGTAGTGATTAAGTTTCAGCAGAAGAGTCTCATGGTTTACGCAATCGAACGCCTTCGAAAGGTCGCAAAAGATTCCAATGGCATCTTGTGCTTCCTCCCAAGCGTTAAAAATGTTCTTGATTAGGGAGACACCGGCGTCAGTTGTACAACGCCCTTTGGTGAAACCGTACTGTTGTTCATGAAAGATGGAGTTTTTATTAAAGTGACATAACATTTGATTGAGCATTAACTTTTCAAACACCTTACTGAGAGCTGGCAGAATTGACACAGGTCTATAATTATTGGGTTCTTTACTATCACCGGATTTGAACAACGGAACTACTTTACTGTGTTTCATGAGATCCGGAAAGACTCCTTGGTCTATGCTGGTGTTAAATATGAAAGCTAAATAAGGCGCAATAGTTTCGATGATAGAACTACAGACTTTTACAGACAATCCCCAAAGATCTTCTGTAGATTTAATTTTAAGATCTTTAAAAGCTTTCATAACAGCCTGGGGGTTTGTATATTGAAATCGAAACTCCGTAGGGCATGCCCTTACATTCTTCGTAAGTAACGCAAAAGAAAGTGCGGATGATGAACTTAAAGCTTCGGTAGTTTTAAAGGGAATATTGATAAAAAGTTTTCAAATTCCTGAGCTATTTCTGCATTTGAGTTTATTGGGCCATGTGCAGTCTCTAAGTTAAATTCAGTATTACGCTGTTTTTTTCTACCAGTTTCATTATTTATTATTTGCCAGGTAGTTTTTATTTTGTCATCCGCTGATTTTATTTTATTACTAATATACAGAGCTTTAGCAATTTTGCACACACTTTTAAAAGTTTTTGAATATTTCGCAACATGCTGATGAAAGTTTGTATTTTTTACATGTTGCCTTAGGCCATACAGTTCAAAAAGTTTATCCCTGCTCTTACGAATACCTGGAGTCGCCCAATCACTAAATAAGAACTTGGTGTAAATACTTTTTGTCTTTTGTGGGACAATGTCATTAAATTGCGATTTTAACAAGGTAAAAAACTCCGCATAGAACTCATTAGGGTCCCAAATATTATTAAAGTTTTGAACACACAATTTACTGGTCAAGGTATTATTTAATTTCTCTAAATTTTTACATGTAATTGGCCTATACCTTATTTGAATTTTTTGTACAGGTATGTAGGCACAAAACGTTATTGTTTGTCCACTGTGATCAGAAGGCAATTTATTAACAATTTCTTTATGTAAGTAATCACAATTACAAAAAATATTATCTATACAAGTGGCAGAAGAAGCTGTCACTCTAGTTGGTTCCATAAAAACATTAGACAGATTAAATGATTTAAAAAGACTTATTAATCTGATACTATTTGAGTTTGTTTCTAATAAGTTAATATTAAAATCACCACTTATGATGATTGATTTACTACTAGTACTAAGTTTTTTTAACACATCTTCCATTACAGAATCAAATACAGATAGATTCTGATAGCCCGGAGGTCTGTAAACACATACTACAACATGCTTATCGAGCTCGACACAGGACAACTCTATAGAATGTTCAACTGACAATCTGATAATGTCTTTCCTTTCTTTAGATTTAACAGAATTTTTGATTAATATTAATGATCCACCGTGTATCATACACTTCCGGCTGAAATAGCTAACTACACAATAATTTTCATAATTAATAGACATTATCTGATGATCATTTAACCAATGTTCAGTTAAACAAATAATATCGAACTTGGTTTTTTCTAAAAACATTTCTATTTCCAGTAATTTGGAAGAGCAACCTTGAATATTCTGATGAAATAATCTTAAAGTATGTTGCTTTCCTTTTGGTTTATTAAAACATGTTAAATTGCCAGAAGATACCTTTTTATTATCCACAAATAATAATTGATTATTTAAACGGTTAACTTCTGTTGTCTTACAGCCTAGTTTAAAGTACTATCCGGAGTGACCTCTACAGTTGTAGAATAACCTAAGGTATGTGTTCCAGCAGGAAGAGTATACTCTATCTGACTGGTATTGGCCTCCAAGTATGTTGGTATTATAGGTGGACCCTCCTTCGTACAACATAAAGATATATTATCAATCACTGTGTTGTTAGTGTAACTAGGCAACACAGTCTCGTCACTAATCCTAGAATTTGTTATATTAACTATAACCTTGTTAATATTGTATGCTATTAACATAGCAATCAACCGTCTACATTCAAAAGACAGAGATAAAGTTCTCTGAGTTAACTTAGAACCACTAATAAACTTATTAGTGTCAAAATATAATAATTTGTCACTATGACGACATGTCAACATGTGAATAGTATTATTCAATTTAAAAATATGATTATTTTCAACCTCTGACAGAGTATCAGAGTAGGGAAAAGCACATAACATCAGCTTTCCTATGTTTAATTTTAATAAGGTGCTGACACCATCCACTATGTCCTTTTTGGTAATACCAATGCTGTTACCTAGTAATAAAACTAAGGCAGAATAATTGTCCAGGTTTGAATTTTTAATTTGTTTAATTATTTGTTTAAAACTTATGTTATGGTAACTATGATTGGTAAAACTATGGCTAAGGTAATTATGTAGGATTTTTCCAAAGCCTGAACCTATTTCATCACAAAAGAAAATGGTTTTATTTTTCTGTGTATCAACAACGGCCTTTGCTGTAAGAGCTAGCACCGGAGGAGATAAGTCAAGATTGAGCTGAGGAGGTGGCGGATGGCTCGCACTGGTGCTTGAGAGATTGTTGGTCAGCGACTCATACATCTCAGCATTGCATTTCACCAAGTCCAGCAGCTCCCCAGCTTCAAGCAGGCGCTCACTCAGTTGTTGTTGTGATATCTCATATTTCTCATAAATATTCTTCAGCAAGTCCTCCTTGTATAGTAAATCATGTTGGAGAAGCTGAGTATCAATATCATACTTTTCCCTACATTCCTCTAGCTGGACAATACAAGTATTTAATTTATTTGATAAAACTACCCGGTCTTTTCTAAGGGAAAGATTTAATTTTAAGAGATTATGTTTTTTTATTGTTCTCTGTGACCGTTTAATAGTTTTTTTAATTTTAATATATTTTTTTAATTTGTTGTGACTCATAACTATAGGACACAATGGTAAGGTGTCATCACCAGTCAAATCTATTGTTACAGCCGGCTCACACACTGGTTTTGACGTACTGACTACCAACTCATTAAATAGGCTATTGGTTTTAGAAACCTGCTTGCTAAACTTGACAGATTCTGAGAGAGAAAGGGCCCTATGGGCATCACACAATTCTTGTTCAAGTTCTGAAATACGGTTCAAAGCCAGTTCATGAGTGTCACTGCACTCTTGAAGTGTTGACACTAGGATTTTCAGTTGATTGTGTTGGTCAGCTAATTCCATGTGCTCAATGTGTAGCTTAGCTAACTCATTTTTGAGGAAGGTGTTCTTGTCAACAACATTTTTCACTTCCACCTCACTGTCGTCCCTCTCCTGGAGCAACTGTTCGCATAAAGCTTTAGAAACTTCAAGCTCCTTCAAAGTAGCTCTCAGTTTTGTTTCCATCTCCTTGATAGTAACTCTGCGGGTCATCATTTTCCTTAATGTTAGTGACCTGGAATGTGTGGAAGGTTTGCAGCTAAATAACAGTGCAAGAACAAAATGTTAAAACACTGCTTTGGTTGTTATTAAGTACTAAGTTTTAAGCTACAATAAAAGGTAAATTTACATTACAAGTTAAGTATTTTATTAGCATAGAACACTTAATGAGCTTATTTTGTGCAGTAATTATGTAGTATTAAATAATTGTCTCGGCGAATGTTTTCGTCTTCGATTTTACTTCCACCAGTTGTCAAGTAAAAGGAGACATAAAACCGTGCCAATGTGTGATGGACGTGGCTCAGATGCCTGAGCAGTATTTTGTGATGTTTTGTAAGATGTAAATATTAACTATAATAACATTAATAGAACAGAATACTCCCCGGGTTATGAGGTTTTTTGAAATCCGTTGCCGTTGATGCGTTAAGTTGACAGCCGGTTTAAGTTTCTTGTTTTGCGAAGCTCTCGCGACAAAAAAAAACACTGTACAACTACTACATGTAATACACAATACTTATTTTAAACGATATTACACTTATTTAACTTAATTAGTACACTTTTATTAATTTTACTAAATTTAAATCTAGAGATCGTTTTTTTTACGACCAGCCACCAGTGTTGCCAGTCGAGTTTTTCTTTCTTGCTTTGATTTCTCAAAAATTAATCCTTACTTTTTAAAAGATAGTTAACATACATATTAAAACTTTCTAAACACTTAATTACAGTTAATTTAAATATGTTCTTAATAGCATTGTTATATCCCTATTCTTTCTGATTTTGATAAATTTCTTTTAAGTGAAACATAATAGTTTTAAATTACAATAATATAATGGTGAACAAATAACTGTTCAATTGGCAACAATCAGTATTTATTATATTTTTTTCCTATTTATAACACACAATAAACTTTGTAGAATACTGCAAACAGTATTTATAGAATTTTTGTTTACTAAGTTGTTAATTAAATAAATGATAAAATAGTTTTTTTTGTAAATTTAAAGCTAAATCAAGACCACTTATGTAACAGTTATATAAATAGTTGGTGCTTTTTAGCTGTGAATGTGTTAAATGTTGACAGCTTTTATTTCTAAAAGTCATGTAATAATGATTCCACCATATTAAGTTCCTCACCTCACAATTATCTCATTCAGATAAGATATGATAACTTCTTTTTCTAATTTTCATTGCTACAACAATGAATTGTTTTTCAACTACAATTCTATAACAACATAAATGTCATACTCAAAGCCTGACTTAAAGTAAGCAATAATTTAATGTACAGACAAAACATGAATCATTCAAAAGCAATAAGTGGGTCACATCTGAGCGTCGCGCAATTTCTATAAAGCGCTAGATGGTACACAAATAATTTTTAAAAAACACTGCTTTGTGTTATTTACAATATTTTTAACTACTTATTTGGAAATGAAGGTATATACCTCCCTATATATTTATAGAAAGAGTTATGTTCATAGAAAACTAATATCATGTGCAAAATATAAGCTTATAGTGTTTTTACTTAAAATATTATTAGATTATCTGAAATAATTTCTTAAAGGATATGTGGGTAGTTACAACAAGTACTTTTGAGTAATAAAAACTCAAGTGTATAGTATAACTCTTCCAGTACCTTATGGCCTTTATTAAATATATTGATTACTACTAAATATCGTTAGGCCAAAATCAACATATTGATTGTATTTTCCGCTAGCAGAGCAAAGACCTCAAGCCCCCTTGATGTATATGAGGAACAACTTGGATCTCCAAAATGGTAATTCATACCAGTATTGTATGGGGCTGCTGGGATCTTTAACCTCCCCTTTATAGGAGAAACATTTTGAGATTTCACATTTTGAGGAATATCCAGCGTTGTATGTCGATGGAGCACGACGGCCTTGCGAGTCAGTGCCCCTGCCTGCCGGTCGGACATAACGTGAATGTTTGACTCCGGTGAAAGTATTCTTAATAAGATATATATATAAGAAAGTTACATAAACTTATAAATTATATAACTGAGTATTAGCTTCGCCTCGACTTTTGCTTTAATATTATAAAGAGCTAAGTTTACTTATTTTTCTTAAATGATGTTGAAAAAAATCAGTACTAATCGTAATATTATTTTTTTACAGTAGAATTTGCGGCTTGAAACATAAAGAAATAGTTTTAATTGCAAGTAAGAATGATACTGTATTCCTAACGTAAATAAGAACATTAGCACGCCTAGCGATCGAGGTCACTTGTGTCTAGGTATTCTAGTTTCTAGACCATTTTGTCTGTCCAAAACTAACATCCGGGCGCTACTGGACAGGTTTTATTACTGTCTACCGTTTACTTAATTTGAATTGGAGCTTTGTGGCTGGTAATTATCAGTTAGTACAACGAAAATAGTGGGCCGTTGTTGTTTCTTAGAATTTGTTTGTGTAATTAGTTTTTTGTATTAGTAAAAGTCACTATCGTGTTAAGACAACATGTCATTAAAACGTATGGTAATTACGTAAAGGACTTTTTCTATTTAAATTACATACATAATATCTTTGTTACTAAGTACAATTGTTAAAACATTGTAATGTAATATATAACGAAAGGTATATAATATCGAACCTTTATATATGGCTACAATAGCCTGTTATTATTTTCTCATGTAATAATTCTGTAATGATTACGAGAAAGGTCCGCGACAAAGGTCATTCACTTGCAAACCTTCACATACCGATCCCAATATAGACCAATCTCCAAGGCGAGATGCCGAAATTGTTTTAATACATTCGCTTGGTTGGACTTGATACATTTTTTATTTATTTTGTAATATCTAAGTAATATGTGTGACGCTTGAAAAGTGTTGTTTAGAATGACGATAATTCTTATAAGATGACTGTGTACAGTCAAAACCGTTCACGACAACATCGTTTAGACTTTAGAACACATACCGGTTATATTGACCAAAATCAAAGGTCCCGGCTGAATTCTATGTATTAGGTACTTAATGACAATGTCATCGGCTGTTACGACTATCGGTTTTTACGTCCAAATATGAGTAGTCCCTTCGATGTCGTTATAACAGATCTTGACTGTATTTTAAATAATATAAACAAAACTTAGACAACATAGCACGTTTTTTATTGTTACCACGCAAAACATACAAAATAATATAAACTGAAAGTGAGACTGCTGTAACGGATTATTTGGTTACATTAATTTGACATGGCAGACAACATCGGGGAAAGTAATAAATATTTAGAACTTAGCAGTTTTACCGCACAACTAATGGTGATCCCAATTCCGATTTCAAGGTTAAATTGTCGTACCACTTCAAGATATACGGCACTTCCTAGTCAATTCCTGTCAATTATGAATCAATTGTCTAATGTGTATCATATTTACAGAGTAGCGCTACAGATTTTTTTCTCCATAATAATCTACTTACGCAATAATGACGCGTGTACACCCGGAATACGCTTACGTTACGTACTGTATAATTTGATGGACGCTTATCTCATACATAGCCTTGAGATTGTAATTGATATATTTCCTAAAAACTATCTGTTTAAGTTAAACTATGAGGCACGAACAATTTCCGCAATAATATCTTTTGATACTGGAAATTTTATTTACATTCCTATTACTAAGTGGATACTAATAACAACGCATTATTATTTAAAACTAGTATATTTATGACGTTATCATGAATGTTTATCTGTGTTATCAAAAAATTCAAATAACATTTTATTTGCATTATTATTGATTAATTATTATGTATGCAAAAGCAAGATAGTATTTCTCGTCAATCACTACGTAATAACAGATCTAAAATTATGTGCACTTTTTTTTTCGTGTTCCTTTTTTTATATTTTCCTGATCTCTGTTTACATATGTTTTAATTACTTTTTTTGTCCATACTTCTTGTTTTTCCATAAGTTTTGTCTAAAATGTCTTATGTAGTTTTCGTGCTCTTGCGCTTTCCTTATCTATTTAACTTGGAAGATATCGCTCGAAAGCGAAAAGGCCGCCAGTTGCCCTCCTTTTTATTGATAATTCTATAAATTGTGTATATTTCTTTACATGAAATGAAGTGTTAATAAATAAATTAAGTAACAAATACCTAAAATGTATGTGTTTTAACGAAGAACAAAATTAATAAAAAGTTTAGCTCAGTGAATGTTCAGTAAACATGAAACGCTTATTGTATAGCAAGAAGAGAACCAAAATTTAACCTTAAAGCTGTTTGTCCTTAACTTTTTACTGTCTTCTAGATCTTAAATCGAGTTTCACATGACTTCAGAGATCGAATTCAAGAACCAATAGGAATAAGTTTTGAGGCTTTTCAGAAGTAATATAAGATACAAATTTCAACTACTTAGCTGTGTAAAAAAAACCCTTGGTCTTTATCCTCAGATGTCTGTATTTGTTGTGATACTTCTTTTCTGAATACCCAAGTAGGTGATCAGCGTTTTGTGACCGACACAACAACCCTTAGACTCGGCCTTGGATGACTGTATTTTTTACGTGATTTTTTTCTTCTTAAGCTTAGGTTTCCTAGAAAAGCGGTGCCGTTAACTAACGGCCGTCAAATTACTGTTGTTAATAACGACCTCGTGTTTACTTTTTAACATAATGCAATAAAAACAATCATTTTCGCTCGTCCAAGTCACGTTTCCACTCATTGTATTAATAGAGACCGCTACACGCGAAAAACGTTGAACTAATGTTTATAACCGCTATGACGGCCGTCATGCAAATGACAGCACCGCTATTTGACGTTACGGTGACAATACGTTCTCTATAAAACCTACTCCGATGTTATTTATAGACAACGTAAGGGTGACGTCACCCAACGTTACATTACGGCCGTTAGTTAACGGCACCAATTTTCTAGGAAACCTAAGCTTTAATAGTAGGTGATCAGCCTTCTGTCCCCGACACACGCCATTTGTGTCTATGGCATGCCGTTCGAGCAAGTGTTAAATATATATATATCGATTGCCTAGCAACAAAACTGAATCTTCTGATGTCTCGATCTGAAACGAGTTCTGTTAGTCTTCCTTTTATCAACACGTTTACGCGTCGTTAAATTTTACAATCCACTTTTATGCATTCACCAGTTTATGGAAACATCTTGTCTATGTCTATGAGATTGTAGATTTCTGCTGTTTATAAAAGTTTAAAAATATTTTGTTTTATTTTACTGAGCACTTGGTCGCTTAAGCTAGCAAATAAACGGCATTGGGCGATTGTCCCCGGCTCTGTATCAATATACGACTACTATGTGGAACCAGCTGCCCACTGAAGTATTTCCGAACCAATTCGAGTTAGGGTCCTTCAAGAAAAGAGCGTACCAATTCTTAAAAGGCCGGCAGGGCGTGCGTCCATGTGCGGTATCACTTAACATCAGGTGAGCCTCCTGCCCGTCTGCCTCCTATAACATAAAAAAATAATTGACACTATCTCAAATAGAAGGGTCGTTTCCTTGAGTAGGTTAAGCTTAAGCGCAAGCTGTGTTAGCTTGTATTTGAGCCTGCAACTATTTATTAGAGCAAAATCTGTTTAAATATGTAAGTTAATTTGCAAATCTGTTGACTGACCTTTATATTAAATGAATCGATATATGATCAAATTATTATTAAAGAAACAAATGCGATCTGAGGCCAAGGCCATTAAAGGCTTGAAATCGCGTAGAAAATATCAGTATCAACATATTACAAAAATGTTTGTCTTATGCTCTATAGTTATATATTAGGACAAAACAACATATTATGCCTATAAATTGTACCATTAAAAGAACTTTTTGGTCCTTGATCACCAAGCCCCGCGGTGCTTTCTACATGGTATGCATACTTAAAGGGGATTTTAGTCATTTAGTTGATTAATTATGATGAAGCTTACAAAAAAAAGAATGGGGATGATAAAATATGTTTATTATGGAACATAAGATACAGGTATCACTTATTCGCGCGCTTATGCGACTTATGCGCGTAAATACTGAATGAATTACTGTATATTTATTATTTATTGAAAAGCTAAATCTAATTGATTATTACTTTGTATTCACTATAAATAATAACTCCTTTAAAATTAATAAAGAAAATTTAATTAATGCATTGACTAGCTATAATTATATTAACAATGCAACTGTGTTACATTAAGAATTTCTAAGCGTAGAGTTTCAGTCAAAGTCCATCAAGACATACGTGAGAGGGTTTAGGACCTTTCCCACAAGACAAGGAAGACTAAAATTTTAAATTTGTTCCAGACTACACGAAGAGATCGAACACTTCTTCATGTACATGTCACCGACGGAGACGGAACACCTGGTCCGATCTACTGTTGTGTCTCGTATACGCAGCGCGATCCTGTCTCTGTGGCCTCAAGCACGTGTAGAAATATTTGGCTCTTTTCGCACCGGCCTCTACCTGCCCACCAGCGACATAGATCTTGTTGTCATTGGTAAGTTATGTTACATTTTGATAAAATGTTAAATATTTGTGAAGAATCAATTTGTAGAAGAAAAATGACGCCACAGCTTTTTAACATACTTGGTGGTGATACAAAGGGGTAACGCAAATAAGGCTTTTCATCCTTATATAGCAGTATAAACTTTTCCAGCCCTAAATTGGATTAAAATTAGTACGTGGTGATGGTTCAATTGTTTATTTAATAAAGTATTACCGGACCTCTAATAAAAGTTGAAAGAAATATTGAAATTGGCATAAAGTTGTTTTATCACTTTTCTTCACAAATCTTTCAAATATGCCGCCGTTAATTTTATTTTTATAAAACCGTTATTCAGTCGTGTACACCAAACCCTTATTTGTCTCTCTAAACAATGGTAATACAAGCTACGAAATTTCTGATCCTTTAATATAAATTGAGCAAGTTCTATAATTCAAAATCAAAAATCAAAATACGTTTATTCAGTTTAAATGCGTCATAGCGCATGCTTATGAATGTGAAAAACGTTTACAAAATTCGCGAGCAAGAGCAACACTACGCCATCCGTTCGCAAAACTACCAGGAGGCTTTGTTCTGAGAAGAACGGGCAAGAAATTCAGCAAGTTTCACCCTCCCTCTACATTACAATTATTAAAAGGAAAATGTCATAAACCAGAACGTCATTAAAGGTACATAAGTAAAAAAAAAATCTGTTATAACAATATAACTAGAACTATTGCCACGCGTTTTTGTCTTCTAGGTAGTCATTAACTGTGTAACGCGTAGTAACCTTTACACATTAATGTTTTTTTTTTAATGTGTTTTGAATCTGATATGATGAATACAGTCTAGAAATAAAAACAACTCAATTAAGAACCACAAAAATGATATAATAACGTTTTTATATAGATTGATTTACTACAGCGACCTCTTTAATCGCACAGCGGTCGAGTGTGGCTAATTAAGATCAAGGTCTGACCTATGCCCCATTTCGATGCTCGACTTTCAGGCGTGTTTGAAGGTTTTTCGACATCCCGTAAAATATATTTATGTATTCAGCGAAATGTGTATTTAAATCGTTTTACACGGGCAAGCGGTTTTAGGCCAGATACGAAGTACCTTCAAGATTATTCCGGAATGTTTACATTACTGATATAGAAAAAAATCTGTTATTTTTTTTGTCGGGAACATTAACATTACGGATAAATTAAGTAAAGTAAGGCTTCAGTTTCGGCGATTACCTCTTCATCGGCGCAAAAATTCTGTCCAGCGAGCATTCTCTTGAGGAGAGCAGGAAAAAGTAGCTGGGGGCCAAATCTGGAGAATACGGATGCGGAAGCAATTTGAAGCGCAATTCATAGAATTTTTTTATTCATATCGTTTTCATTTATATGTGTCACGGTAATGAAACATCACTTTCTTGCTCAAATGGGGCCCGCGATTTTGTCCTTCAAACGCTACGTAATAGTTGCTGTTGATGATTTTTCCCTTTTTAAAATAGTCCAGGAATATTTGTTTATGTAAACATATACCATATATAATATGTATAAATGATAAACATAATATATATTGATGTATACCAAGCACGTTGCTGTATGAACACACGAACCAAGAACACCTTTTTATTCATTTTTTTAAGCAAACAAAAGTTTCTTCACTCCAAATACTATATCTCACAAATTAATAGTACGACAGTTGTTGAATTTTTACACGTGTCTTTTCAAGGTTAGGGCTAACTAAAAACCATATTTTTTCATTACTAGTAGCGCCATCTATGTGTCAGCCTACGAACTTTTTAGCCTATGTATTTATGGCTAGCCGCACACACGCAATAATATTGTCAAATCAAGTTTGTCAATTTGATTTAACAATATATGCCTCCGCATATTTCTCAATATTATTGCCAATATTTACTAATTTTAAAAGGCTCAGTCACGAACTGATCCTTGATCTACGCGGAAGTATGGATAATAAAAAAAAATGTGTCATATTGTGTATGGCAATAAGCCTGTTAAATAAGAAACCGCGAACTAAAAAAAACGATGGATTAATTTTTTATATATCACAAGTAAATTATCGAGTGCAATGTTCTTTTTCACTTTGTCGCGATATGTTTTTGATGATATAATATTCCATAGTTCCGGATAAGTTTCCCACAATCTAATGAATTCTTTTAAAGTCTCTTTATCATTTGGGGGAACATTTTCCACACTGTCTCCGTCATAATTTTCGATCAGATCTTCGTCTTCCATTTTACAAAAATCAAAACAAACAATAATATTTGAGACATAGAAAACAACTAATTTGACGTGCACTCATAGATAAATTATGTTAAACTAGAATATTGAAGTAAGGCCCGCACACACACAATAATATTGACAATAACCCTGCCTCCCCCTGAATATTGACGGCATATTTCAGAATTTCCGGAAATTCGCAATAATATTGAACAATACCGCAATACAGGCCGCACACACACAATATTATTGACAATACGTATTTTATTGTCAATATTATTGCGTGTGTGCGGCTAGCCTATAAAATACAGAAAAGATCAGACATGAGGCTAATAGAGGTGCATAGTGCATACTCAATATTTACTGCGCGTATTTTCCGTACTCCTCAATTTTAAATAAATGCTTTTAAAAAACACTATTATCCATTAGGAGCGCGCGGAGTATGAAATGGCGATTGCGTCTGGCCTACGATTTGTTAGATAGCCTGTCTCTAGACGAGTTCAATGACACCGCCACAATACTTGGTATTTTCTGCAATTTATAGAATCCGCTGTAACTTAAAATCCTTCAGGAATTACTACGTACTTAGGGAGCGTTCAAGTATTACGTAACGCAATTTTTGGAGATTATTGACCCCCCCCCCATGCAACTAGCCGTAACGTTTTCAGTACCCAAGTACAGTACTGTTCCCAAGTCTAGTAAAACGTTTCGTGACTTTAGTTACTATTATGTGGTGTAAGTAGAAAATAATATTAACAATAACGCGTAATTCAATCCCCACCCCGCATCGTAACGTTTTACAATAGGACCCCCCCTTCCAAAATTCGTTACGTAATACTTACTTAGTACTCGTACTTAATCTAAATAATTATATAGTTTCAAGATTTAAGAAAAATTATTTTGTCTTTTTCTTTACTTTGGCAGGATTGCTGATGTTATATATGTATAAAAATTCAGTAGTATTATTAAATTGTCTTAAAGATAACTTATGTTACGATATGTTATCAACTTATCAGTAGAACAGTGGGTCTCTTGGTCACATACTTATTATAAATAATAAAATTTTTACATTAAAGTAGTGATTTTTTTTTAGTTATTTATTTGATGGTTTCGGGAAATGTTTTTACTTTATTTCACTAAAAAGGATCTGTTTGGCACTGGTGTGTTTACAGCATTGTAGTACAGTGATCCAAGCAGATTTTTCTACAGTTTTTTACATATGCCTTTGAAAATAAGTCAGTTAGGCAGTTTTTAAGACTACTTCTTCATCATTTCTGAAGGTCGTGTTAGTGGCGCCGCACAACTTCCTCCACTGTACTCTGTCTTCGGCAAGCCTCTGCGTCTGGGTGATGGTAAGACCCGTAATGGCCTTTACTTGATCGGTCCAGCGAGTATGGGATCGGCCTCGAGGTCTGGTCACTCTGCCAGTCACAATGAGTTTTTCTAGGCTTTCTGGATCATCTATATGTCCAAAAAAAACTTAAGATGCGCTGGTAACAAAGTGTAGAAAGACGATGTTTTACTTGTAACCTCCGCCACCACCACAATCCCAATACCACATTTCCTGAGAATCGATTTTTCTCCTTTCAGAGGTCCGTATTGGCCTTCAGGGTTTTTAAGACTATAAGACTTCCTTTAATGTAACCACTAAGTAACAATATTTGAGCGCTAATTCAAAGAAAATGTTAACCTAGTAATATATAAGTAAAAAGCGGGAGATTATTGTCAATAAGCCATGACTGGCTTCTGCGAGTCGTGAGCCGTCTTCAAGAATTTCATTTTCGCATTTTTCTATTGAAACTTGTTAATAATAATACTACATAACTAACATAGCTAGTAAGGTAAAGTAACAATATACGCTATGAAATCGAGTCCAAAAAAAGTTTTTATAGTTAATGAAGGTCTTACGAACCACACGTTTATTACCTTAAAATAGTCAGTTTCGCAGTCATTTGGAAGGAACGGCTAAGTTAGCCTCTAACAGCTTGATGTGTTCAGCAAGGCGAGGAGGTACTTCACCCTGGGCCACCGCTTGTAACTATAGAGCGCAAATTCGGCCCCAAATGGAGTACTGTTCACACCTCTGGGTCCCCAGTACCAAGTCCTTCCGCTTGATCGTATTCAACAAAGAGCGGTTCGAATCGTCTTACGATCAATCACTTTCCGAGCGGCTTGATCCCATGGCGTTGCGTAGATATGTGGGATCTCTCTGCATCTTTTACCGCATTTACCGTGGAGAGTGTTCATCCACGTCCGTTGTTCCACAACTGAGCGTTTCTTAAAGAACATTTTTGCCGCGCACCACCACTATGTGGAACCAGCTGCCCACTGAAGTATTTCCGAACCAATTCGACTTAGGGTCCTTCAAGAAAAGAGCGTACCAATTCTTAAAAGGCTGGCACCGCACTTGCGCTCTTTCTGGCAGTGTAAGTGTCCATGGTCGGCGGTATCACTTAACATTAGGTGAACCTCCTGCCCGTTTGTCTCCTGTAACAATAAAAAAATAGGTTTGAAGAGTCTGTTTTTGTATGTTGAACCTGAAGTAACGAAGGACGATATAACTTGAGAATGCTTATGGCTTGGTACATTAGAATGTTTTTATTTGTTTTGTGCTCAATGGCAACATAACATCAATTCTGTCTGTCACATGGCTCAGCAATTCAGCCCCTATAAATTTTGTTAACACTCACCCGTCGTGCGCTACAGTTGACTGAATCTAACAGTGATAAAAATTAGAGTGATGCCTAGATATCCTCTAAAAGTATCCAACTCCAACGTTATCCTCCATTATTACAAAAATGCTGAAGTTAATCTCGCAAATATAATCCGCTTTTGTCCAATCGTTCGACTCCAATGTACTGATTGTATATAGGGTCTGATCCGTTATTAACTTCTCTTAGTATTCTAAACACCTGAATATAAAAGAAAATTATCAAAGAATCAGAAATAACCAGAGATCAAAACCCATACGCGATTGTATAGGGGCTAGATTATTATAGACGCCAAAGTCAAGACATATTCGTTACTTAAGAAGTTTATCTGACGAAAAACTTTAGTGTTGACAAATAACGAAAAAAAAATTACATTTAAAGTGGTTTAAGAATGTTTGACTATCACAATAGTACTTGAATTTGACGTACCATAATGAAAACAAGGATTTGATTAATTTCGTTAGCTGTAGACTATGGTGTCAACTGT